TCTGGAGAACTTCAAGACATGTTGAGGTGATAATTTAGCCATTTAAATCAGCTGTGTTGGATCAAGGACACATCTAAAACATGCAGGACACCGGCCCTCGAGGCCTGGAGTTCGACACCTGTGTTCTAGAGGCACACTCAGAGCTACCTTTTGCACCTGTAGAGTATATTGAGTAAAGTATCCTATTGCTAGCTTTGGCATCAGCCAAAAGGGTCAGTGAGGTACTGCCTGCAGTTTTCCCAATCAGATGGTTGGTGGTTTGATCCCTGGCAACTCCAGCCTGCATGCCAAAAATCTTTGGGCAAGATAGTAACCCCAAGTTGATCTCTGATACATCCATTGGAGTATGATTTGTGTGAGTGCTAGATAGAACACACCTACATATAGAAAAGGTATTTGTATGAATGAGAGTTGTAAGTGGTTTGAGTGCTCAGGTAGAGTAGAAAAGCACTATGTAAGAACCAGTCCATTCCATTTATTAGCTTTTCTCTACTTGCCATTTGCAGATGAGAGCCAGAATCACTTTAATCCACTATGCCTTATCCATACATTAAGCAATTATCTAGACAGGACTGAGGGGTTTAGGAAAAGCAACCAAATCTTTGTAGCTTTAACTCCTTCTTTAAAGGTAAGTCTATGTCTCGCCAGGGGTTGTCCGACTGGGTGGTAGAGGTCCAGTCTTCCAACAAGGTGCAGCTGTGTGCACATTCCATCAGATGAATGACTGCCTCATGGGACCTTTTTAGGAATGTTTATGTAGAGGACACCTGTCAGCAAATCCTTGAAGTGACTGGTCATGCCAGAGGTTGCTTACCATAGTGGGATACTCAACTCACTTTTCAAAGAACCCCGGTTACGCTAGTAAGCAAACATTTTCTTTGTGCAAAGTAAAATTAAGAAAACATCTGAGTTCATTTTTATTTTCTCTACAGGATTGTTTGGATGACAGTCGTCGCATCCCCCCATCTCCAGTTGTCCATGTTCGAGGACTTTGCGATGCTGTGGTGGAAGGTGACCTAGTGGAGGCACTTGACAAGTTTGGCAACATCTGGTAGTCCTGGT